GCAATGACCCACAAGCAATGCAAGCACTATGGACCACTTAACGGATACTATCGGACTTGACCACATGCATAAGTGTCCTGGCGTGCGTCCAGGAAGACGACTTTGAGACCGAATTTGGCAGACGATAAGCCACATGGACTTTTTAGGCAGTCATAAATACAGTCAGGCAAAATTGCTATCACCAAGTAGCAAACTACTGAATCTGATACGTGTGCGGCAGTGCATCAAGATCAAAGGCTGTTAACATGAACTATTTCTTGTTCCATGTACAAATATGACCACTCCATGCTCTCGGTACATGTGGATCAGTGCAGTTACAGAGATCGGTTTGATGGTTTTCGCTGGACTGCGGAGGTATTTAGGTCTACTAAGGTTGATAGTGAGGAACAAGGAAGGTTGCAAGGGGACAATCTACGCCCTAACGGTGGGGCTGTGAGACAGATTAGGAGGGATTGTGTATTTTGCCAGAAAAGTGCTCTGAATATTTGATTACGTGGCTCAAGTCGCGGTCCAAACTATATCGAGGCTGAGATAACATGATTGATACTTGAACTCTCTTTCCTTCATGGGCACTGGGTGGCCCCTGTGTGTCTGTCATTGTCCAAAAGCACTGGAGGACGGCTCCCAGCCCCACAGAATATCATATCACTACCAAAGGAGCACCGTTGTCAGTAATCCCCAAGCGATCTGAATTGTCGGTGCTGCTGAAACTGCATCGTCTCTCTATCTAACTATCAGGACTCGAAACCTCAACGTCAGTGTGGCCGAAGCTTACGTCCGGAAACCCAGAGTCCCTCTCAAAACATCAAGATCATCGGTTACTGGTACGGAACATCTTTAATCAGTTATGTCTGTTAAACAATCTGAGAGCTGCTACAAGCATTCTAACCGTTGCTATCTTACCAACTTGACGATCCCCGAAAAATGCAACTAGTTAATACGGTTTGTGCAGGAGGAACAGACTTGACTCTATTCAATATATACCGCGCGTAAGGCTCTGAGTATAGTGTCTGCGGCTGGTCTGTTGTCTCAATCATCACAACATTAATTGGCAACTCAATACTCGTTTCGCTCGTCGTATCGATACTCAATCATTGTATAGAAAACTTTGGCCGTACGGCACTCACATCGCGGTCTTTGGACAGCAAGAAATGGATCAAACAGCCCACATAGTCCTTGTCTTATTTTTTACAGTTCTGATAATTTGATTTTTGCTAAGATCATACTGTTCGAGCATTTATGTGCGTGCCGTATTCGAGAGGCCAACCAAAGAAGATTGGTTACAGTCAAACTACCAGCTAGCGATTTGGGGTCTGTCAGCCCCTTCAGACCAACGTAACGTGTCGATTTTCAGGTCAAGTTATACAGCACAGCTTTTGAGCGCGAAGTTGATGTTTAAAAAGCAAAAAGGTAACCAGTCTTAGACTGATGGGCTGTTTTCGCCCGGGCTCGAACCGGGGACCTTGTCGGGTAACAATGTTCAACTAATTGTGAACGACACGTGATAACCACTACACCACGAAAACGTTTAGGTCTCCATCTCACACTGTGTGCGAAATTTAGCAGATTTTCTGGAAGTATCAATATATGAGGGTTTGATGTTCAGAATTAGAAGGGCCAAGCGAAAGGGGGCAAATTGCGGAGAATAGCGGCGGGGTAGTGTACGAGAACTTCGTGTCTCTTATCTATTGATTGTGGTTCCATGCTTAACTCCATTTAATGCTGCGATTGGAAGCAAGGATTTGTTCATTCCACTTGTACAGGTCTGGGAACGAGCGAGTAAGATCGAATAACACATGGCAACTATCTGAAGGTTGAGAGGGACAGGGGCAAACCTGTTCTTCAAGTTTCTTGCGACAATACAGATTGCCAGCCAATATTACATGTCATATCAAAAATTTCAAAACATTGTTGGGATGGTGGTTCCTAGCAAAATGATTTTCTGTGTGTTAGCGTACTGCTTCCGGATCTGCTTATTCAAGGTTCTCGTGAGATTAACGGATATCTGCAAAGTAAGATTGTGGATCTTCCAAGATGTCGAAATATGTGGTGACTTATAGATTGAATTCCGCTCGAGTTCAGGAGATGATTCATCGTCTGGGATAAGCGGGACAAATAGACTTCGGATCAACAGGGTAACCATATGACGGAGATCATTCCCGCCTTGTTATCCGTGTTGCCTCAAGCTTCTGCATCATGAATGCCCTGTTCATGACAGTTGGCTTACAGGAGTACAGTCCTGCTTTTTGAAAGAGGCTGCCCTGGAACAATTGCCGTTAAGCCAAGGGTTGGACTGATGGAAATGCTGATGCCAGTGAATATCCTCGCTGTTGGTTGGCTCAATTTTACCGACCCTTGAAGGCCAAGGTCCAACTGTCGGAAATCTTGATTTAGATAGGGTTTCCTGCTGTTATTATGGATCTTATAGAAGGTTATCTTCCTACAGTCTTTGGCTCTGCCAGCGGAGTCTCCTCGACTTGGCAACGATGTTGTGACGGGGTCTAGAATGGAAATACTGCGAATTCGCGACTGATAGAGGAAGAAACCATATGTCAGTAATGCTTCCAGTACTGGCCCGCTCAAGGATCCTGTGAAGGCTGGCAGGTTTCCTTTCAGTGAGCTCCACGAGGAGAATCGTGCCAGCCTTTTTGGACAGCAGCTGAACCCCGGTTGATGGAGAGCTTCCGCTGTCGAGTTGAGATCATCTACGAGCGGGTGCGTCCATTCTTCTTCACTCACTAGAGACGGCTGTTTGATCCTCCCAATGCTTTGACGAGTACAGCCACATGCACTCCTGTACTCGTGTTTTACGTGAAGAATTCTTGTGCATTTGCGAGACAGAGCTTCACTCCTCATGAGAGCTTCGAGATCTCTAAGACTACACGTCAGGTCCCTTAAAGATAAGAAATTCGTGCTCGTGAGATGGCGTAGTCTGCATCGTTGTGGTTTGTGTGGTAGTCTCGACAGCACCAACACTAGGCTCGATATTCGATCAATCTTCCGTTTTGCCCTGCTTGAGAGAAGTACGATATGACTTAACCATTGATTCAGAAAACACGTGTGTTTGAACCAGAACTGGGCTGTGCAAATAATCTATGGGAGACAGATCAACCACTTGTCGTCCGGAAATCCTCGTGCTATTGTCTGGTAGCAGTTCTTCCAGTCGATGAGGTGGCGGTGGGTATGTAACATTAACCTGGGGTGGATCGACAGGTTATGGTTAATGACATCTCGGGACAACGACAAGAGCTAATGGGTTGTCCGGAGATACTAGTCTATGATGCAGGTGAAGAGACTTCTAATTACTTGGATGCTGTTGACAACGTTTCTCAACCAACGAGTTTCACGATCGTATCAGTTGGCAAACTGCCAAGCGAGGTGGGCTAAAATGCAACCAAATGTGCTGCTGCTCATGTTTGCTGATCTTCCCTCAAGTCTGTACCAGGCCAACTTATCACAGCAGCCAGCCAGGTGTGAATATCAAAAAACTCCTGGGCTGACCTCTAGCGTAAGATATGAACTACTTCTAGCTGCACCGCTATAACAAGCTTCAGAGACAGTGTGAAGTCTGTTTCCGGAGATAGAGTCGCATAGCTTTATTGCATCCCTCAGTGTTGAACAGGTTAGATTGTAATGATCTTGGATGACGACGATCAGAGCACACTGAAGAAAATGTCTTGCCGATCCTGAACTGCAAGAAGTAAAACTTTGGCCTTCTTTCGGTTGAGATGCTGGTCGGAGGCACATATTTTGAGGTAATGAGAATATTGGCTAAGGGCTGAGCTTGGTTTGACACGAGCTTTAAGACACGTCAGGGATTGCGCTTCTAGGAGAGCCAATAACTGGACTCAAGCGTGCTCTTTTATTCGCTTGAATCGTTGAGTGGGCGTTCGCGGCACGAAAACCTTGCCTCTTTTTCGAACACCGAACAATCTGACAACGAGTTCAAATAAGATTGTGGAGTCTCCAGATTTCTTGTGTATCCGTGAATAACTTGGATTGTACTATGAAAATTGAAATCTTGATCTGCTTCGGGCTATGGATGTTGGATAACAGTCGTAGCAGAGTTTTGGTACTGCACGCCCGGATGCCCAGCTGCAGGGAGAAAACTTCAATAGACAATGGGTGTTGTCGAAGATAATGATGTTTAGTAAGATGCTGGACAGTGGGACCAGCTTCAATTTTTTCTTCTAAGACTTTATTTCCTGATGTCAACTGGTACGTATTGCTGACCAAACATCATGGTTCGTGGATGGCTGCCGCAGAATCCGTTACTCCCAGAGTGCCCTCCCGGCACAAGATCAGAACTCTATACAACAAACACGAAGTATGACAATTTGGCTTGGTGCAGCGCTGATATCGATCAACGAAGGTCGACCAATTGAATTGTGATAATTATCCCTCTGAACGCTTTGGGAGAAAATGCTTTAGCAGCTGCCCTTTAAGCAGTAGATCGTCGACCGAAAGAAGTGGGTGAACACACGAGGATTCTGCTTCAGGTTAGACAGCGAAGCTAGAAAAGAAGGGCCCAAAACACAAAGTTTTGCCTAGTGTCAATGAGGACGATCGTTCTTTTCGAAATGTCTTCAGGGCACCAGAGTGTTCGCTGGAAATGACTAGCAAACACGATTGGGTTGTGGCTCTGGACCGTCAAACTTTATATGAGCACAGTGTCGGCGACGAGTTCTGAGCTGTATATGTGAAGGAAGGTACGATGAAAACATCTTGGGGGTTATTATCGGGACAAAACTGGAGCAAGGACGATCTCTAGAGAAAACACGTTCACGCCACCGGTTGCGTCCTCAACCTGAAAAAGGACGCGGATACCAATGGAGGGCTGCCACATGCTAAATTTGCGTTCGCAGAATATCAATTCCAACGAAGCATGATATCGCCGGGCTATGCTGCACAAGAGTCGTTTGCAAGGCGTGAGGCCAACCTCGGTACGGCTGAATGACGACGGCATCTTGCGGACGACAGGGCCTCATCACTTCTCAGCTCAGCCGTTAACCAGGGGCTCCTTTCGCTTACTCTGCAAAGATCTTGTTGATTGATGGTGAGAGGTGAGAAGCCTGCTGTATTGATGTCAGACTGCTGTACGACCTGGCACGGGTAAACGAGCGGCGTTTTCGAGCAGCTGAGCACTAGGTACTATTCGTAATCGACGTAAAGGTATCTGCATGACACCTTTTGTGTATCTACGTAGATTCGCAAGCGCAGTTTATCGGCCCACTTCGCCTGAACAACAGTTCCTCATGCAATGCTGGTGTGATTGTTTTCACAAGCCAAAGACAAGCACCATGCCACAAAAAACCGATAACGTATTCTGGCAACAGGTGAAAGGCTATTTGCCAAGGCCCCTGCGGCTTGCCTCGTTGGGAGTGAGGGGCGCCACTTCTAAAATTAATTGCACTGCTCCTGCAGTATTAGGCCATCCTTGGACAGTATCCTAGTCTCCATCGCGGGTCTGGGTCACCCTGGCGATCACCGTCATGATGTTCGTAACGGTATTGTTACCGCCTGGATTGACTTTAACAAGATCGAGACTAACAAGTAATTGCTGACCAGTGCGTTCAACCTTTCTGAATGCGCTTCACACTATGGCCTACCGCTCTTCACTTTCGCTCGTTAAGTTCATTGCCACGAGTTGCCTTTGATCCCCAGACCACACTCGCTTTCCCTCAAAATTAACGCTGTTCAGCCGTAAGATGTATCGACAGGAACCATAATGGTACAACCACTACAAGGCCTTACACTACCCTGTGCAATACACCATTTGCCGTCTACCTCGAGAGGTTATCGGACGGGCTGACCTTGCCACATTTTGAGAGTCACTGCTGTTTACACCGACGTTGCACTGAGGACATCGAATTATTTGGAGCAAACAGCCCTCTCAGACAGTATGGATTCGCCCACAGAGCGCATGCCCATCGCATGTATGCACTGCGCGAAGGCAAAGGCCAGATGTGACAAGAAGGTGAGCGCATATGCAGCATCAAAGAAGAGAGGAGGAACAATCTTGGTAGCCGGAACACAAGTCCATCTCAGCTTCCTTTTGGTGTAGGTTGCTGGTGCAAACACTGGCGGTGGTTAGCCATCTCAGAGCTTTGAGTGCTAACATTGCACTGTGTAGGTCCCATGTTCGAGATGCGTAACCAAACAACAAGTGTGTGTAAGTCGCGCTACAAGACGCTCTTCACACAATCCGAATCGACGGAGCAATTTGCCTCGAGCTCATTCAGAAAGAACTCTGCACACATCTGCAGCATTTCACGTTTCGCAACTATCTCAATTCGCAGTACCAGCCACCACACAAGACTTGCCAATACTCTCTCCTAGTATGTAATCGCGTCTGCATTTATGGGGACGAATCCGGCTGATCCTTTCTCAGATATTATCAGTCCACAATCCAGTCATCACCGTCACAGTCTCTCAGATATCCCTCGTCACGTGCACATAGCGCCAGCAGCCTACGGATCTGAGATAGATGCAAACATGCTTCGTAACGGCTACACACATACACCAC